GCCTGCATGCAAGTTTCATACGGATTACATAATCTGAGAATAGGCTATTTGTTTTTTCAGATTTGAATTATTTCATTTGAAAGTAGACATTTCACTCTCTATAGATATATTTTTCATGTCTGTAAGGCAAGTATACACAGTTTCGCGCTCAAGTTCACAGAGACAGAAACGTCAGAAAGCACATCCTGTTTGCTTTCATTATTATTATTTGTTGTTATAGTGAGTGCACACACATAAACGTAGAGGCTTTACAGATTTGAAAGATGTATTACTCTTATCTGTATGACAAAAATGATGAAGTATTTTAAGAGCAAGTGAGCGCCTCCATCTGTCCTGCTGTGAGCGCTACTGTTCAGACACTTGAATAGCGCACATTTCTCTAGGTTAACATTAGATTGAGCGGCCATGTAAAGTTGCTACTACTTACATATTTCAGATGATAAGCCATATTTGAGGTCGATGTATGATAGGCGATCGTTTGGATGTACGGTATTACCACAAAATCCAGCCGTTAACGATCTGTCCGTCACGGACTGCGTGACCTCACTACTAACCGTGGATTTTTTTTCTGCGACTAAGCAACCAATACAATTTTGGTCGACCAATCCTCTTCTTGTCGACTAAAGGTTAGTATTATTACTAACTATTAGGGGGCAGCCCTAGACTGGAGCATTACAAAATTGCCCTGTTTTGCTTGAACATAAAAGTCAATGAAGGGCATGGTCAGGATGAACTCGATTCCCTCAAGCAGACATTGTCCTTCATCCAGATCACTGAAACACTGTGTGTCAGCCTTTTAGAAACTGAACTAAACGTTTCTTCAACATTTCCAGGAGCACCAGCAGTATTTCTATCTTTGATTTCCTCCACTAAATCATCTGAACGGCACACTGAGACTCTTTTAGAATAAATAACAGATATTGCTGCATCATCAGAACTGTACAGCAGTGATGCAAAGATTTTGACTGGCTGTTTTCCCTAAACCACAAAAAGTCAGTTGCAAGCAAAAAGAAATCTGCCATCATATCATGTTTTTTTGGAAATGTTCGTGGACTACTTTCACAAATTTCTCTATGCTCTACTTACAACGGATAGAGGTTTTGTTCATTTGGTGCTATTAGATCTGTCATCTCTGCATTGGTTCATGGGATGTCTTGAGTAGTTTTGTCACTCAAACAGCACTGACTCCCTTCACTGTTCTCCTAAAACCCTGTGATGTGCAGATAAGGTGGATTTTTAAATTGAAATGTCCACTTAACTTTGTGAGTAGAAATGGTGTCACACGTTTCTCAGGCTGAATTTCAAAGGCGCTGCAAACACACTTGGGCAGAACCAGGAGAGGCACGTTATTTCAGATCAGAAGTACATCATGAAAGCTGAATGCACATAAAACGTCTCAGGTTACGTGTGTAACCATGGTTCCCTGAGAAGGGAACGAGACACCCTTTTAGCCCTTTTAACCAGCGCCCTTTTATACTGGTGTCTGAAGCATACATCTAAAAACGACAATAACACTGGCCGGCGACAGCCTATAACGTCATTACCCTGCGCAATCACAGTATAAAAGGGCGCTGGTATAACACGTCATCCGCTTCTTCGTCTGAAGCTTGCGTCCGAAGCATGGCAAGGAAACTAGAGGACGCAGTGTCTCGTTCCCTTCTCAGGGAACCATGGTTACATACGTAACCTGAGACGTTCCCTTTCGAGGAAACTTCGAACTGCGTCCTCTAGGGGTCGCTATGGGGAATGGTATACCCATGCCACCATGCTGAGGGGAGTGCATGCCAGAAAACCACAGCGAGCACTAAGTACCAACTCTACCATAGCCATGGGAGTTGGACCTAGGACGCCTTAATGGCTGTCAGTGACATTATCGCCTCCGGCCAAGGGCCTGAGCTGCATACCCTAAACAATTTACCTGATAGTGGCTGGGCTGGAAAGTCCAAGCCTAGGGCAGAGCTCAAGGCTTGGAATCAGAAGAAAGAGACTCCTTTAATGGGATACGGCCAGGTGTCTAAAAACCACACCAGACCCTGGCCTGTCACCCAGGGGGGGCTACCACCGGTTGAATGAGCTTGCTCAAAGAACTGCCTCGACAGATCTTTGGTAGCAACACCCTGCTCAGAAATGTATCAACAGAAATACATTAGTTGAGTGGAGCCCAAGGCGAGAACCCGGGCCTAAGCCAACTCAGAGAAAGGGAACGAGGCTAACAGCGCGTAACCCTTACCATACAGGATTTTAGAAAGTGCGCAGAATGCTTAGCATGCACACTTGCCTCAAAGTGGATTTTAGACAACCAAAGACAACCCTCTGAGGTGAGGGGAGCACTGCCTGGCTTGACCCGAATAGAGAAAGCTTATCAGGGAAGCATCAAGCGGCCCAACTTCCTGATGTCACTGCCATGGAGCTCAAGAGCGGAGGGTTCAATCCCCAGTGAGGAGAGAGAGGAACCCAACTCGACCCGAAGCGACCAATAGCCCAGGGTAGAGGACCTAACTCTCGAGTCGAGAGGAGGACTCACCCAGCCTGCCCAGGACCGGCAAGTTTAAAGGGACCCTCCTGCAGTGAGGGGAGCACAGCCATGACCGGGGCAGATAGATTGCAAATGGGACATCAGAAATAGGATCCTGCTAGAAGGGGATCACACATTTCTAAGGGAACAACAGGGTCCCAACATAAAGGCAACTGACCAAGGAGGCGACAGAGACGGGCCTAACACTTAATTTGTTGCAAATGGGGTCCTTCGGGAGCAGTGCTCTCGGCTCTCAAGCTGAGGCGGGCCCTTACAGCACATACTGGGAGCGACTCATAGCTAACCCTCACAGAGAGGGGAGCACTTCTCAGCTCGACCAGAACAGGGCGCTAGATTAGAAGGGGTAACCCAGCAGGGCCCAATAAAAGACAGTCCACTGGTGCAGCTGGACACAGTCACATGATCTCTATCTCAATAGAGAGTGTGGGTCCTGTATAACCAGACCCGATATAATCTGAAGCAATAGCGTGACCCAATAACCATTCATGCGTATAGAGCTTACTGCTCCTCAGAGCAGAATCACAAAAGAGGGGTTTCAACAGAAACACAAATCCCTCTTACCTCAGGGAACGCAGTGTACTCCAGCCCACTCGGCAGAGGGGTGATTACTGGTTCAACCATAAGGGCAGTGTAACAGTGAGGAACCACGGCCCCAACCGTCTATGGAGCATTAAACTCCTCAAAGCCTCAGCGAGAGGAGCTCTAGCTCAGAGAGTGTGCATGAAGGTTAAGGAACGACTCAAACCTCGGGAGACCCCTCAGGGTGAGAAATGAGTAGCACACCCTGGCCAGAGGATAAGGAGCATGTCATGAAGCATGTACTCAGAAGAGTACTAGCCCACGAGAAGGACCCGCAGGTTCTGAGGTTGCAGCGTTATACTGGGGGCCTGATGCTGGGAGGCTTCCTCAGAAGCCCAGGCTGCGTTTCCAAGCCGAAGATGATGGCTATCAACAGCTTGGATCCAGAACCGATGAGTGAAACCATCACTGTTATCGGTCAACAGCAGGAAGTCCTGACTTAGCAGGTGGGTTTCTTTCAAACCTAGAAGTCAGACAGACTTAACAGAACAGGTCCGAGTAGCGCTGCAGAGAAAGGCTAGCATCGAATACACAAGAACTAGCAGTCGAGTAGATGAAAATGGATCGTACTCACCAACCATGGCTCCCCGCGCATGACTCAGGCTCATGGATATAGGCTGGAGGCGAAGTCCGAACCCTGGACCTTCGTGGAATGAAGGATTTAAAGGCAGCCGAGCGCGTCTTGGCCTCATTAAACTTCACGACCACCGTCTCGCCGGAAGTGCCGAAAAGCTCAGAAGGGGAAACCGGCGCATCAAGAAGAAAGCCCTTCTCTTTCGACCCGATATCCACCAGGCTCACCCACAGATGTCTCTCCGTAACCACGGATCTGCCAATGGCAGTGGCGGCCTGCTTAGTGGCACGGAGAGCAAGATCCGTGGTGCGACGCAACTCAGCCACCTCATCAGGGGATAGACCCTGGCCTTTATCCAGTCTTTCAGCAGATCAGCCTGATAAGCCTGAAGCACCGCCATGGTGTGCAACGAGGCTGCAGCCTGACCTGCTGCCGTGTATGCCCTGCCATTCAACCGAGATGTATCCTGAAGGGGTTTGGACGGCAGGGAGGGAGCCTTAAGAGAAGATGTTTCCCTCATAGACAGATAGCAGGCCAGTGTCTCTTCAACAGGGGGCATCTTTTCATAACCATTCTCACGCATCCCCTTGATGTTTGCATAACTATTATGCTGGAATCTGTGGATGCGGGACGAGAATGGATTTTTCCAAACCTTCTCGATCTCCACATGAAGATCGGGAAGGAATGGAAGGCTCATCTGAGCTGGAGGGCTATGGCTAGAAAGAAAACGCTCATCGAGGTAGCCTCGAGGCGTCACTTTCTTGGCCCGCTTCCACGGCAAGTCAAGCCTCGCCGTGGCGTGATCCATAACCTCAAGCAGCTCATCATATGCAGGGCAGGAGGATTTTTTTTTTTTTTTTTTGTTAATGTCAAGTGGGGGTGCAGTGCGCACATACATAACAATTTGCCTTTTGTGCGGAGCACATATCATGAACTGTCTTGGATCTGACCAATGCCTGTGTGGTATATAAATGGAGAACTAAATATTTCAGAAACAATTACTGGCCATCCTTCAAAGTGTTTGAGTAATGTTCCTAATAATATCTAGTGGGTTTTAATCAGAACAAATGCTGTTTTTGGAGACGGTTAACTTTATCTTACTTAGTCAACTGTCTCCTTATATTTATTACATTGAAAGAATTTAAAATAAATCGCTTGTTTATCTATTTCCAAAGCTGAAATATGTAGATGTTTTCTTTTTAAAGTGAAATGCTACCACTTACAAATAAAAAAGCTGAACTGGTTTAAACTGGATAAAGTGAAGTGTCACACTGTATGTGTGACAAACCAGAACACACTGGTTCAGCAGTAAGAAGCAGTCCAGAGAAAGTCACTTCTTGTTTTTGTTAAATTACTGATAGGGAGAAATTTCCCATCAGGTCCTTTCCATGTTGTCACCGCGACCGCAACGCACAGCATGCATTCAACTCCCGTGGGAGCTAAACACGCTCCACCCAAACGCTAGATTACATCGGAAATCAAGCGAGAATTGAAACCGCTGCCGCAAATGCGTCGCTATTCCCGCGAGAGGCAAACGCACTCATGCAAACGCTATCTACCAACTCGGGTAAATAGTGAAGTACTCACCTCCCCCTCAGTAGTCCCGTGAATGCATCACGATGAGCACAAGCTGTCTCCTCGTGAAACGAGCATGTTCAATTCATGCTTATCCCTCACAAGCAATAAGCAATGAATGCAGAGCGCATCCAACTCCCTCGAGAGCTGAATTCACATGCTCTTCACCACACACACACAGCACGCGAGCCGTGTGAAACTGTAGGTATCAGAGCAAAGCCTCTGGCGAGAGAACACGCACTCCTAGTTGTGCTTAGCTTAACACTAACATAAACAAACGGTCAGTGAAGACGAAGAAGAGGATGACGTGTTATCCCGGCGCCCTTTTATACTGTGATCGCGCAAGGTAATAACCTATGTCATAGGTTGTCGCCTGCCAATGTAATTGTCGTTTTTAGATGTATGCTTCAGACACCGGTCACGCTGAAGGCATTCCCCATAGCGAACCCTAGAGAACGCAGTTCGAAGTTCCCTCGAAAGGGAAGTGACGATACACTGATGTGTTTTTTATCTGTGTCAGTGATGCTGCCCCCGCTGGTCAGCAGGTGCATGAGCAGTCCTTGACTGGACTGTTTAATCAGTATTTTCTCTGTGCTTATCAGTGATACCGCCCCCGGTGGTCAGCAGGTGAATGACCGTTACTCACTGGACTGGGACTCAGTGCTGGTCAGTTCAGACAATGTCATAGTAGCTCGTCTGGACGGCAGGGGAAGTGGCTTCCAGGGTCAGAAGGTGTTACAGGAAGTGCACAGGCGTCTGGGATCCGTGGAACTGCAGGATCAGCTGGCTGCTGTTGAGTAAGGACGTTTATCTGCTTTTTTCCTTCTATCAGTTGCTTAAAAAAATGATGTTTATGTCCTCATTTACTCACTCTCATGCTCTGTTTGCTGTTTGGGTGATCTACACACACACGGTTGTGAAACATGCTAACAGAGTTGTGCTTTTGTTCCAGTTACCTGCTGAAATGGCCATACATTGATAGAACCAGGATCGGTGTGTTTGGTCGGGTAAGACTCAATCTCACACATGGCTGCTGTAATGGAAGAAAAACTGATGAAAACCTTCACAGTCCACATTCATCGGACATATAAACCTGTGTGTTTGCGTCTTTCTGCAGGGTTATGGAGGATATATCTCACTTCTGCTGATTAAATCCACTGAGAACTTGTTTAAATGCGCAGGAGCTATGTCGCCTGTGACAGACTGGAATTTGTATGGTAAGTTACTGATGTGATTGTGATTGAGTAAGGGTTCACACTGATGTGTAGTTTCAGACCCGTGATTTGGTGGTTCTGAGAGTGAATCTGATCTCTCTCTCTCAGCCTCGGCCTTCTCTGAACGCTATTTGGGTTTCCCTCTTCAGGATGACAACAGATATCAGGTTAGTGCTGGTTAGTTGTTATGGACTCAGACTCTGCTGGAATGTGTTTGAGATGTTAGTGACAGACTGTGTGTCTCTAGTTTTCCAGTGTGCTCCAGAATCCACAAGGTTTCAGAGACCAGACGCTCATGCTGCTGCACGCCACTGCAGACGGTCAGTGAGACCTGAGTGAGTGTGTGTGTGTGTGTGTGTAGAATATTTGCATTCTTGCTTGTTTGTCTTGTAACTATTTTTCAATACTTGAGGTGTTATTAAATGGGTTAGCGGATCATTTGATTGCATTACTCTTTGTGCTCTTTTTTTACTCATTCTGCTGGTATTTCCTGCAGCAAATGTTCATTTCCAGCACACGGCCGAGCTCATTAAGAACCTGGTGAAGGTGGGAGCGAATTACACACTGCAGGTACTGAACATGTGAACACTGCAGATAGACTTGACTGTCCACGCACAGCGTCACTGGTGTTGTGTTTTTCAGCAGCAGAGTGTCTTTGTTTATTGATGCTTGACTGTAGTCTAGTGTCTGATCATTTTCTGGATGGTTGTTTTTCAGATTTATCCAGACGAGGGTCATTTCCTCTCCAAGAGCAGTGACCGACACATGGCTTCAACACTGAGCAGCTACTTCAAATCCTGCCTGCAGGAGGAAGTGCTTTCCATCAGTGAGGAGGAGGAGGAAGAGGAAGAGTAGAGTGAAGATGAGACACAACACACAAACACGTGCAGACACTGACACACACACACACACATTGGGACAATGAAACACACTGGACAAACATCCAGAGCAGAACACTCAGATAAACAGAGAGCCAGGAGTGAGTGAGAGTGTGTGTGTGTGTGTGTGTGTGTGAACATGTATATATGCATGCGTGTAACCGTTAGGATGAATGTAGCATTAGAGCTGTGTGTGTGTGTGTGTGCGTGAGAGAGAGATTTTCTGGCATATGGATCATTATCGCTGGAAATGGATTGGAATATTTCACATATCATAAATCACTAAGATTTCTGATTGGCTGATGCATTGGCCAATCACAGCACAGACTGTCTGGTGGAGCTGCTCCAGTCAGCCTTTTTGCTTTGCTTCACTTCTTTTGCCACTTTCTGTCTGTCGGTATGTTGTCGCCCTTCAGAGGAGCTGTGTTTGATTGCATTTCTCCACTCGCTGGGAAGAAGCGTAATTCCATCCATGGAAAGCTGGAGGATCTGTGTGAAGAGAACAAGGTCTCGGCAGCACACGTGCCTGACGCTCACTGTGTGTGTGTGTGTGCAGTGCATTCTGGGATGGTGCTGCTGTATTTAGGACAGAAGAGGGCGTACAGATGTATTTTTGGACATTCATCCGGCAGATCCGCTCACAGACTGTTTTGGATCAGTTTATTTGTATTGCTGACCGTTTAGTTTTACTGATGGTGGTGGTTGGGGGGGGTGAGGGGTTTGGGATTGTTATTGTCCTCTAATTATGACAGTCATGTCTATAAATAAACAACTAGTCCAAAAACAACACAATTTCATTTTGATGTGCTATATTTTACCATCAGAGTCCCTGTGCTTCATCTGATCGCATGCGGTCACACCGTCAGCAGGAAGGACCGCAAACATCAGAACGGCACAGTCACGTCAACAGCACAATTATGAGAAAACGTTCATGAACGGCCTGGAATTAATGAATGCCACATACTTCAGCTCAGTTATTGGTCTGTCAGTTTAGACACTCTTTGATTTGAAGTGTTTTGGATGTTTATCATTATAGTTGACAGGATTGTTGGATCAGGAGACCTTTCTCAAGCTCATAAGCACATATCAAAAAACACTTCCCTGTAACTCGTCCGTGGTTCCCCAACAGCCTTGAAAACATGAATGAATACTGAGCCACTAAAATGCTTAATTTGGCATGTCAAGTAGTTCATATCATGACAGGATTGCTGAATTTCCAGCCAGTGGCAGTAAGAACATTTACAGGACACATTTACATGGGTTTCGTGCTGAAAATGATTCACTATGAACTCTGTTATACACATAATGCAAACAAAAATCATCTTAAAATGCTTTGTTGTCATGTATATCAAGTGCAGTCACCTTTATTTCTATAGCGCTTTCTACAATACAGCTTGTGTCAAAGCAGCTTCACAGTGTTAAACAGGAAAAACGTCAATAATGCAAACAAAAATCAATTCTGCTGTAAAGCAGCTCTAAAAAGAGAACAATAGTAAACAGTCAGTTTTTCAGTTAAAGTCAGTTCATTGTTGATTCATTGCTTAATAATTGTGGAGTTCATAATTTATGTTTATCTGATGGATTGAAGTCTGTCGGGGAAACATGAGCTCACTGATAATCCAACCATTATTCCTGACCGGAGTTTCTGTAAGTATTTAGTTCCCATGTGGGAATGCATTGTAACTTCAGTTTAGTGGAAATCATGACATTTTTTTATGTATCAACAGAATGTGACCGCATAAGAATATTTTCAAAAGGAACCCAAAAAAGCAACCCAAAAACTATCATACAGAGTGTTTTGTAGTGACAAGCTCTCACATCACAGTAATGCAGTAACAAACTTTACATTTATTTGTCTTAAGGTTTCATAATATTCATCTGATTTATGTAACATTTTATTCCTAAAAATATGATGAAATTTTTTTTTTTTTCCTAATTAAAACTCTTGTCAACAAAATCAAACAAGAATTTAAACCTGGCTTTATCCAGTCTTCAGATTTATGTTCTGGAAATGTATGCAAAGTAGTGCATATTTAATGAGAAATATGTCTCATGCTTATTTGAGCAGAATTTCATAAAATTTGTAATGTGATTAATGGGGGAAATGTGATATCTGTTCGTGTTTGACCCCATTCACCTGTAGTGTCTGAAAAAGTCATCTCTGCAGAAAGTGACAAAACTCTTTGTGACTATAAGACTGACTACATACTGTATTGAATATCCACACATATAGCAGTAATATTTTGTAGAAAGGGTTTTCAGGTTGAGTTTTGTTCTGTCTAATGATCATATATTTTTTGGCTGATGTTAGCAGTATTAAACGTGAAGACCAGCACAGGTATGTGTGTGTTCTGTCTAATGGATTCTGAGAGACAGAAGACCTCTCGGTGTTTGACAGACCTGTGACCTACCGAACCTGTGACACTTACTAATGAAGTGTCAAACATATGTATGTAATATAACTGTGTTGAGCTTGTAGCCGATCAGAAACGTCGACTGATTCTGCATTTGACTGTGTTTCTGTATTTGAAGTTTGACACACTTGATTTGGTTTCACTTTATTTTGATGGTCCCTTTAACACATTCTGTTGACTGTAAGTAATATTTCTCTTATATATCTACTAGCTCTCATTAGAGTGTTAGTAGAGTATTAGTAGACTGGTAGGGTTAGGGTTAGAAGTTGAAATGTATAGTCAGTAGAGTGTCTGTTGGGAGACCATAACAATAAAGAGTTATATTATAGCAGATATTAAGCAGACAGTCTACTAATACTCTAATGCGAGTTAGTTGACATGTAGGTGCTAATTTACTTATTGTCAACAGAATGCTCAAAAGGGACCATCAAAATAAAGTGTTACCCTTGATTTTAGCAGTTAAAGTTAAATTGACAAATTCTTAATATTCAGTTAAATAATATATGCTGGTGCCCACACTGGATATACGTGAACATATACAGTGACAGAAAAAAACATTACTTTTTAAAGTCTTGACACAACGTGCTCGAGTGAGAGTTTTATTTTATTTCGGTTTTATGCAGACTAACCGTGTAGCTCTTTAACTGTAAAATGTATTACCCAAATTTTTCTAAAAGCAAAACAAACAAAAAAACAGGTTGTTAGTTTTACTAGTTGAATCGATCCTGTATTAATGATATATTGCTATATACACCTGTGGATATGTTTTTGTTTGTTGTAGTATTTATTTTATTTGTTCAGGTCATAAAAGTGCAGATTTTAAGGCTATAATTTGAAGGGGAAAAAAAGACAGAAAATGAATGCTTTTCACAGCAGTTTTCCCCAATAATAATATCTGACAGAATGCCTCGCTGATGTTTAGTCAAGTCAAGTCAAGTCACCTTTATTTATATAGCGCTTTTAACAATACAGATTGTGTCAAAGCAACTGAACAGCATTAATTAGGAAAATTGCTAAGATCCAGTAGCACTAACAGAGAGATACAACCACAATCAGATGATTAGAGCAGGTCATTTGTA